AGACTCAGGCTCTCCACGTGTCAGGTTGCTGGGCAGCAGAAATGAGCTGGCACAGAAGTTACGTATGTCCAAAATGGCACCCACCCTCTCTCTGCTTGTTTCAGGATGCCGGTGCAGCATGGTCAGGGAGAGAAACCTGCCCCTTTTTATATCCTCTAGATTTGCAGGTACACTGTCCTCCACAGGGCTCTAAGCCAGACTCGCGCCAGGCTCTTCTCACAGCTTTATCACCAGTGGCTTAGGCTGCTGCAGTCCAGTCTCACCTAATTCTCCAAAACTGGTGCAGAGACTCTTGGCTCCTGGGGTCCTGAGTTGTACACATCTACACCCTCCACATAGGTCCACAGTCTCCCTCTAATTTGCATGGAGTTTCTTCTGCCATTTTCTCCCCAACTCTTCCCTGAAACTGTACTCTTTCCACTTTTTTTAATCTATCTTCCCTTAGACTAGAGCAGTAAGCTCCCTCCCTATCCGCCATCTTGGATCTCCCAAAATAAACTCGGTATTTTTCTAAAAATTCTTTATGCCTATACCCATCTCTTAAAATGTTTCCCCTATGTTTTCTTCTAGCAGTTGCATAATTCTAGATTGTACACTTAGATATTTTATTCATTTTTAGTTTATTTTTGTATATGGTGAGAGATAGGGATATACTTTACATGTTTTTGCATATGTGTGTAATCCAGGTTGTTCGGGCACCATTTAGTGAAACTGTTGTCCTTTCTGCTGTGTATATTCTTGACACCTTTTTTGAAAATTGGTTGGATATGAGTGCATGGATTAACTTCCAAGTCCTCTATTCTATTCCATTCGGCTATAATTTCTTGCACTACTCTGCTGTTTGGTTATTATAGCTGTGTGTTATGTTTTAAGATCAAGTGTTGTTACACCTCCAGCTTTGTTCTTTTTGCATGGGATTGCCGGATTGCCTTGGATATTTTAGGACTTTTGTGGTTCCATGTGAATTTTGTTTTTTCTATTTCTATAAAGAATGTCCTTTTTTTAAAATTATTTATTTATTTGAGAGGTAGGATTACAGAGAGAAAGAAAGAGAAAGGTCTTCATTTGTTGGTTCACTCCTCAAATGGCTACATCGACCAGAGCTGGGCCAATCCAAAACCAAGAGCCATGAGCTTCTAGGTCTCCCACACAGAATCAGGAGCTGAAACACGTGGGCCATCTTCCACTGCCTTCTCAGGCCATTAGCGGAGAGCTGGATGAGAAGAGGAGCAGCAGGGACAGGAATTGGGGCCCACATAAGATGGCAGCACCTTAGGCGGCCATGCCATAGCGCCAGCTCCTGTCTTGGTATTTTGATTGCGTTTGTTAGCAATCTGCAGATCACTCTGCTCAGTAAGAACACTTTAGTAGTATTAATTCTTGGAATCTGTGAGCACAGCTTGTCTCCCCATTTCTTGGCATCCTCTTTAATTTCTTTTAGAAGTGTTTTACAGTTTTCCTTGTAGTGCTCTATAATTTCCTTGGTTAGATTTATTCTTATGTTTATTTTGTAGCTGTTGTGAATTTGCCTTTCTAGTAGCAAATAGTGATAAATAAGGTATATTTAAATATACCCAGCCTGATGAGATTTGGATTATTTTAATAGACTGCAGGTTTTGAAAATATGTCTTGTGTATTTGAAAAGATACAGTTTGTACTATTTGTGTATATATTCTACATAAATACAAAAGACAGATTTACTTTATTAACTGTAGTCATGCATCACTTAACAATAGGGATATGTTCTGGGAAATGTGTTAGGCAATTTTTCCCTTGTACAAACATCTTTGGTTGTTCTTTTTATAAGATTTATTTATTTGAAAGCAGAGTTTATAGGGAGGGAGGGAGAGAATGAATCAATCTTCAGTCCGCTGGTTCACTCCCCAAATGGCTGCAACAGCCAGGGCTGGGCTGATCTGAAGCCAGGAAGCAGGAGCTTCTTTGAGGTCTTGGGTGGCTGGGCCAGCCCTCTTGAGCCATCTGCTGTTTTCCCAGGTACAGTGGCAGGGAGCTGGAAGGAATGGAGCATCTGGAACTCCAACCGCACATGTATGAGATGCCAGCGTCACGTTACCCATGATGCCACAATGCTGGCCTCTCACAATTTTTTTTAATATTTTAAACTTTCTGAAGAGTCTTTTGTTAGTAGTGTTTTGTAGTTTCTGCCTTATATAATTAGTTGCTGTGTTTCATTTGATATGTAAATTGTCATGTTATTTTCTTTATGTTGTTTAAACATTTTTCTCTTCCTTAATTTTTTCTGCGATATATGATCTCATTCCTTGCTTTCTAATTATTCCCACTTGCCTGGAGTATCTTTGCAATCCCTCTGTCTTAGCATTTTAAAATACGATGTTCTTAATTCATCTCTTATTTATAAGAGTATGTTGTTCAGTATAAAATTAGTTTTTGCTTTGTTATCCGATTTGAAAATGTTCTTCTTTAATAAGCACATTAAACTAATTGACATTAAGTTAAATTCTTGATGCTCTTAATTTGGTTATATTTTATATTCTAATTACTGAGGATTCAATCCTGTATTTACTGTTTTTTTCTCCACTTGATGTAGCTTTGTGATTTAAAAAAAAAAAAAAAACTCTTTTGGTGTTTAGAAAGGCCTGTATTTGTGTTCCGTGGTTACAGTTGTATTTATAGCTCCTATAGTGCCCTCAAAAGTACTTTTCCATTTTCTTATGTAATCTTTTATTTTCTAGTCTGTCCATCTTAAATGGTATCATTTGACTACTGCCTGTTTACTTAAACCTAGACAATAGTCAGCGATTGTACTCTGCCTTTCCCCGTCTCCTCTCCTTTTTTTCAGTTGCATTTTTTTCTGTTTAGTCAAAACATAACGTTGTGTACTGTCCTTTCTTCTATACTTCCACATTTATTTTAATGCTTGCTGTACAAATAAATATTCAGTATCAGTTCTTTTATCAAAGGTATCTCTTGCTGGTTCAAACTCTTCATTTAAAGGATTTCTCTAGAGAGGCACATGTATACACTATTCTCTGAATATTTTCAAATTCAGAACTATTTTTCTATAGATTTGGTTATTTGAAGAGCTGTTTGGGTTATAAAGTCCTTGGGTTACTGTCACTGGTACTGAGTTCCTTGAAAACAGTATTCTGTACTTACTTTGATGTTCTTAGGAAGATTAGTTCTTTAAGTCATTTACTGTGGCTTTTTAGTAGTATTGTGATTTCTTGTAATGGTAGAAGTTACAGTTTTACAAAAGTTAGAATTTTATTTCATATCAGGTTTCTTTTTTTTTAATTTTTATTTAATGAATATAAATTTCCAAAGTACAGCTATGGCTTACAATGGCTTCCCCCCCATAACGTCCCTCCCACCTGTAACCCTCCCCTTTCCTACTCCCTCTCCCCTTCCATTCACATCAAGATTCATTTTCGTTTCTCTTTATATACAACAGATCAGTTTAGCATACATTAAGTAAAGATTTCAACAGTTTGCTCCCACACAGAAACATAAAGTGAAAAATACTGTTTGAGTACTAATTATAGCATGAAATCTCAATGTACAGCACACTAAGGACAGAGATCCTACATGAGGAGTAAGTGCACAGTGACTCCTGTTGTTGACTTAACAAATTGACACTCTTGTTTATGGCATCAGTAATCAACCTAGGCTCTTGTCATGAGCTGCCAAGGCTATGGAAGCCCCCTGAGTTCACTGACTCTGATCATATTTAGCCAAGGCCATGGTCAAAGTGGAAGTTCTCTCCTCCCTTCAGAGAAAGGTACCTCCTTCTTTGATGACCCGTTCTTTCCACTGGGATCTCATTCGCGGAGATCTTTCATTTAGGTGTTTGTTTGTTTGTTTGTTTGTTTTTTTTTCCCCCCCCAGAGTGTCTTGGCTTTCCATGCCTGAAATACTCTCATGGGCTTTTCAGCCGGATCTGCATGCCTTAAGGGCTGATTCTGAGGCCAGAGTGCTGTTTAGGACATCTGCCATTCTATGGGTCTGCTGTGTATCTCACTTCCCATGTTGGATCGTTCTCTCCCTTTTTTATTCTATCAGCTAGTATTTGCAGACACTATTCTTGTTTATGTAATCCCTTTGGCTCTTAGTCCTATCATTCTGATCAATTGTGAACAGAAATTGATCACTGGGACTAGTGAGATGGCATTGGTACATGCCACCTTGATGGGATTGAATTGGAATCCCCTGGTATGTTTCTAACTCTACCGTTTGAGGTAAGTCAGCTTGAGCATGTCCCGAATTGCACATCTCTTCCCTCTCTTATTCCCACTCTTATATTTAACAGCGATCACTTTTCAGTTAAATTTCAGCACTTAAGAAAAATTGTGTATTGATTACAGTATTCAACCAAAAGTATTAAGTAGAACAAACAAACAAAAAATACTAAGAGGGATAACATATCAAGTTGCTCATCAACAGTCAGGGTGAGGGCTGATCAAGTCACCATTTCTCATAGTGTTCATTTCACTTTAACAGGTTTCCTTCTTGGTGCTCAGTTAGTTGTCACCTATCAAGGAGAACAAGTGGTATTTGTCCCTTTGGGACTGGCTTATTTCACTCAGCATAATGTTTTCCAAATTCCTAACAGGGATCATTTTCAGTTAAAATTTAAACACCTAAGAATAATTGTGTGTTAATTAAAGAGTTCAACCAATGGTACTAGAACAAAAAAAATACTAAAATGGATAAAGTATTACATTGTACATCAACCGTCAGGACAAGAGCTGATCAAGTCACTGTTTCTCATAGTGTCCATTTCATTTCAACAAGTTTCCCCTTTGGTGCTCAGTTAGTTGTTGCCAGTCAGGGAGAACATATGATATTTGTCCCTTTGGGACTGGCTTAATTCACTCAGCATGATGTTTTCCAAATTCCTCCATCTTGTTGCAAATGACCGGGTTTCGTTGCTTAGAGCACAACTTGGGAAGGAACTTATTTAATTCATAATAATGACAGTTTAAAATCAGACTCCTAACTAAAATTACTTTGTTTTATAGGAATTGAAACCTGATGTAGTAACTAAATCTGCTCTTGGTGATGATATCAACTTTGAAAAAGTCTGCAAAAAGGTATATCTGAAAATAATTTTGTTTGATTTTTGAAAAGTACCTCATTTGTATTGTTTACTTTTTCCGTGTCACTTTCTTCACTGAAGAAAAAACTTATCAAGAAGCCGGTTACTGTTTTCCTCACTGAACTCCAGGATTGCTACTGAAAAATGTTCTTATAACATTTACAAGTTTTGCTTTGCTATGATCTCGCCTCTCCAAGGTCATTAAAGTATGTTAATATAGTATTTCATGTGTTATATAACTATTAGTCTCTTAGCCTTATTAGTTACAAATAGCAGTCTATTCTTAGCAGATCATTTTCCTGAATAATTCATTTAATGTCTGTGTTCATTTTGTGAAAGATTTCTTTTTTTACCTCTTTAAAGATGAGGCTAATGGAGTTCAAAGAAATTGAAAGAGCTGACTGAGACTGTAATGCTGTATCATGTGGCACAGTCAGCACTTTTCTCCAGAGCTTCCGTTTTTGTGTTTGTCGCTCCTGCTTCTTATTTACTGTTTCCCCATTTTCGTTGTGCCCACTTGGTTTATGTCTGTCTACCTAAGACAATGTCACTTGAGTGCAGGCTTTACCTGATTTTTCTGTTTCCTGTTTTTACTTTTACTGATTTTTTACCCTAGTCTACATTATTTCTTTCTGTCTCCTAGCAGTCTTCATGCTATCAAATAATTGTACCATATTATTTGAACAAGCACCATGTCTATAAATAATTCCAAGAATTAAATAGTCACTCTAAAACTAAGTAAAATCTAGATGTATATGGATCACTGGACCTTACAACTTTTCTTAAAACTTTAATTCTTTGGGCCAATTCATTCAGGGCTGACAGGACGCCTTCTGTTTTTTCTTAGGATGGATGCATGCATTCTTGATGTTCCTTCAAATAGGAAGCCACAGATGGTTCAAATGACCATGCCCGTTGTTGTATGTAAATGACCACAGTCCTGAGAGGATCGCTTTGCCCAATCCTTGTCCATTTCCTGTTCTTTCAGATCAGACTGATGGAAGTAGTGCTGCTTGCATTAATAACAGTGATAAGCTTCATGGTCTCTCAGGAGAGGTTACGCTGGACTGAGTTGTAGGTCCTCAGTGTTTTCCGCTTTTCTTCTAGAAACCAGATGGAGCACCCTATCTTACTCTTTTCTGTAATTCTTCCCCGGCACTCATTCAGCTCCTCCCACTGCCACCTCCCGCTTCCCACTACCACTACCACCAGTACCAAATTACACTATCTAAATAGTGGTAAGTGTCAGGAAAAGCTCTTTAATTAAGTTGTCATGCTACTTCTGTGTTGTGTTTTTCTTTATTAAGTTATTTTTTTTTTTCATTTGAGGGTGGTTTATTTTGGCTTACTTACCTTGCTTCACAGTGATGTTCACGTATAGTGCTTACCTGTGTGGGTGTCAAAACCTAAGTTACCAGACCTAGTGCTGTGGCATAGTGGGTAAAGCTGCCACCTACAGTGCTGGCATTCCATATGGGCGCCCGTTCAAGACCCGGCTGCCCCACTTCGATCCAGCTCTCTGCTATGGCCTGGAAAAGCGCTAGAAGATGGCCCAAGTCCTTAGGCCTCTGCACCCACATGGGAGACCTAATGGAAGCTCCTGGCACCTGGCCTCAGATCAGCTCAGCTCTGGCCGTTGCGGCCATCTGGGGAGTGAACCAGCAGGTGGAAGACCACTCTGTCTCTCTCTCTCTCTGCCTCTCTGTAGCTCTGCCTTTCAAATAAATAATCTTTTTTTTTTTTTTGACAGGATTATACAGTGAGAGAGACAGAAAGGTCTTCCAATAAATAAATAAATCTTGAAAGAAATTATTTAAAAAACCTAACTTAACAAAACCTATTTGATTTCCATATGAACTTGCATTTTTATGTGTCAGTTTTTCATTTTTTTTGAATTTTATCTGACATAGGAGCATTCATTAGACAGAATATAGGAAAGTATAGTTCTTTTTCCCTTCTATAGAAAACACTTCATTTATCTACTTTAAGCTTTTAATTTAGCAGTGTTAGTTGAGTTTAAAGTATTGCTGCTAGTGTTCTACTTTTACCAGTTCATTTAGAGCTGGTTTTAGAAAAGATTTCAAAAATTCACATCGCATGTAAGAGATCTTTGTCATTTTTAGTCTACTGTGTACATTCAGAGGTGCATCCTCAAAATTATGTTCAAAATTGAAGACCAAAAGCTTTTGTGCTCACAATAAATACACATAAGCCAAAATAAAATTTTCCCATTAAAAGATGAGGTGTTTTCCATTTTTTTATTTAATTTATTTGAAATGGAAGAAACTGGAGGTGTGTGAAAACCACAATTTCCTGACAGTCTTCCATGGCAAACATTATGTCAGCTTTAAATAAGGAAAGCTGTGGTTTCCTTCATACCTCTCAATATTGTGAAGACTTTTTCATGCAGGTGTAAAAGCTGTTTGTTTGAAGAGACTACTTGGTAGCCTTTTTCAAAAGCTTCAAAATAAATTTATTTAAATTTAAAAATGTATCAATATATTTGTATTCCTTTTGCCTATCTCCGTGGCATTCCGTGTGCTTTCTGTGAAGTTTGTACATTTTACATTAGGGTGATACTGCGAGCCTCAAAAGATGGCCAGTGTATCCTCATGTGTAGGACAATGCCTTTCCATCTAAAGGGCTCAGTAAATACAGAGAGTGAGGAAGTGGGTAAGGGTGATGAGCAGGAGAAAAATTAGATGGGAAAAAGACTTGAAGACCATCTCACGGGTTCTGCCCTACTCATTCTGTACTTAACTCAGTGCCTGAAACTCCATGCAGACATCTCAATGCGGCAGAGCCCAGACACTGCCAAAGGACTGCACCTGAGCCCCTCTCTTTCTCTTGTGCTTATATGTAATTCCTTTACTGACACATTTGAAGGGGGCTTTACACAGTTTATACTGTGAGAAAACATTTGGGGATGAATCACAAAGATTAGAGACAGTTATCTCTAATAGTTGGGAAGAGGAGTTATTCAGAATCCTAGACTGGTCCTGATCTCTCTGCCTCTCTCTCTCACTGTCTGTAACTCTACCTGTCAGATAAATAAATAAATAGTTAATGATTTTTTAGGAGTAAAATTCTTAATAAAATTAAAGGCTTGAAATAAAAACTGCTTTCTTAAGATTAAAGTTAAAGGCTTAAAATTGTTAGATTTTTACATAGAAAGAATTAAGAAGTTATGTATATTGCTATAATTGATAATTTTTTTAAGTGTGTTTACAGACAAAGGGAGAGACACAGAAAGAGAAGTCTTCCATCCTGATGGCTTATTCTGCAAATGGCCACAGTGGTCAAGACTGGGCCAGGCCAAAACTAGGACCCTGGGACTTTATCTGGGGCTCCCATGTGGGTAGCAGGGGCCCAGGCACTTAGGCCATCTTCAGCTGCTTTCCCAAACACGTAAGCAGGGATTTGGGTTGGAAGTGGAGCCTCTAGGGCTCGAACCAGTGCCCATATGGAATGCCAGCATTGCAGGCAACGGCTTAACCCACAGTACTACAACTTGGACCCCAAAATTGGTATTTTTAACTGAAGCTTTATTTAAAACAAGTAATTAAAAAGTACGTATAACATTTTTCAGTGTTCTTTTAAGAATAGAAAATTGAATCCTTAGTGTTTATAAAGCATATTGTTCATGTGTATATTAATACTAGTTTTCCCCCATTATAGTACTTTTTTCTACTCTCAGGATTGTAAGCAGTTCAGATTTACAAATCATTAAAAAGCCATTAGGAACAAATATTAATAAATAATAACTAGTAGATAAGTATAAGAAATTTTAAGGACCAGACTTTTCTTTTCTTTTTTTTTTTTTTTTATTTTTTTGACAGGCAGAGTAGACAGTGAGAGAGACAGAGAGAAAGGTCTTCCTTTTGCCGTTGGGTCACCCTCCAATGGCCGCCGCAGCCGGTGTGCTGCGGCCGGCCAGACTTTTCTTGTACAATGAATTTTGATGTTTATGAATGCCTTGAGTAAATAATTTTCAATTCAGTGGAAGCATTGATTCTAATTATTATAACAACTTATTTGGTAATATAGTAATAGTATTATATTTACTCCTTAAGAACATCTTCTGCGTTTTCCTTCTGAGTTGACAACTTGGATACATTGCTGAGAAGTGGTTAATAGTGTGCTCCTTGTCAGTGGTGAACTCACCCTCTGCTCATATTCCTGTTTAACGAAGGGAAGAGGCTTGAACATCGGGCATTTTCTGCATTTCGGCTAGTGTGGCCTTGTCACTAGCTTCCTGCCCTTAGGCAGGTTACTTACTACTTACCATCACTGGCCCTTGTTTATTTAGTTTCTGTAATAAATAGCTGTTTCAGAGCAGATGTTCCAATAATGTATTATAGTCTCCCCCTTCAAAGTCATGAATAAATTAGATTAAGATGATATACTTCATCCTTTCATGTTTCTGTTTATTTTGCCCCAAATTTAAATGCTATGTGCACCTTCACTCAGCAAGTATTCCATATTATATCTGTATTGTTTTTTGGTATATTGCTAAGTATTCTTGACATTTTGCATATCCCTATGTAACAGGAGTAGTTCATTCTCTCAGAAGTTTGGCCACGTTGTGGGAAACCAACTTTCAAAATTTCCAGTTTGTGAGGATTAGAAGGACTAGTATGGTTTGAAATGTATATGCACAAGTATCATTTTTGTACAAAGTAGGCACAGCCCTTACCTACCAGACACATTTTTGTTGAATAGAGTCTCAGCTAAATGAGTAAGAGCTTGAGAAGCCATCTATTTTCAACCCATCGTACTTATACAGAGTTGTATTTCTACGTTTGAAGCAATGTTTTTCTTAGCCTGCCTTGAGGATATGGCTGTTCCTTCATGATACAAATTAAATTTTGTATTTATACCTATTCAAAACTCCCTCAGAGGCGCAAGATATGTTTTCTGATGCAGACTGATTATAAGAAGTCAAATGTGCACACTTCATTGTTTTCCTGAATAAGTCACATGCTTATTAAATATTAGCTGCTGAAGTATACAGCATCATAAAGTATATCTTACTTAAAAGTAACTGTCCTGTTAACAAAGTGCTTATTAATAGAATATGTATTATTTTTATTTACTAGTAGGATTAACCTATTTGTCTTACATGAATTGCATATAGTTAGACAACTGTAAGCTATGGTATATGTAATTCTGCATAACTACTCAAATTTAATACTCCTATGTATGTTGTAGATCCAAGCTCTCTTGATCTTCATTGAGCTCATTGCTGCTACATAAAATGCTCAACTCCAGTATGACAACTATAGCGAGAACCACATTCCTAGGTTTATGTAACACAGTTGTCCTTTTAAAATCAATCTCACTTCTTATTAACCCAGTATTCTTTCCAGAGAACTCCTTCACAAAGATTGAACCTAAAAACATAGACAGGAGGCCTAAGAGTATATAAGAAATGAGAACATCATCATACATTAAATTGCCATATAATTATAGAATTGTAGATATTAACCCTGAAGCTTTTTTTTAAATAGTATTTAGTGAATGAAATTAATTACCAAATTAGTGATAAAATGGTTATTAACAAAATGGTAAGTAGCCAGTCAGTACTAGATATGACCATGTTACATCTGCTGTTCATAAATAAGATGGAAAGATAGCTAGCTGTAGAAAGAAAAATACCCCAGCTCAGCAAAGATTGTAACAGTTAGGGAACAGCAGTTATGTGTTCTTGAACACATTCAGTGTCACAGTCTGTTTAGCATTCCCAGAACTTCTTACCTGAAGCATACAAGACTAACTCATCTCATGAAAAGCTATTTCAGTTTTATCTGGATAGTCATATATTGAGGATTACCTTTTTTATTTAAAGATTTATTTATTTATTTATTTAAAAGGCAGAGTTACACAGAGAGAGGAGAGGCGGCAGGAGGGGGAGTCTTCCATTCACTGGTTCACTCCCCAATTGGCTGCAATGACTGAAGCTGCGCTCATCCAAAGCCTGGAGCCAGGAGCTTCCTCTGGATCTCCCACACAAGTGCAGGGGCCCAAGCACTTGAGCCATCTTCCACTGCTTTCCCAGGCCACAGCAGAGAGCTGGATCGGAAATGGAGCAGCCAGGACACGAAACAGCTCCCACATGGGATGCCGCACTGCAGGCAGCAGCTGTACACCACAGCACTGGCCCAAAGATTACCTTTGAAATGAATACACATTTACTATTATCACCTCGTAATCTAGAAACAAAAATCTGTCATACTAAATTTGTAAGCATCATGGTCCTTCTTAAATTTTTTTCTTTTTACCTTTATAATATTTTAGTTTACCCCAACCAAGGATTCTACTTGCATGTAATTTATAACAGGCATCCCACCTTTTTTTCTGTAAAAAGCAAGAGAAAATATTTTAGCCTTGTAAGACATACTAGTAGTTCTGCTCTTCACACGCTAGTGAAATTGATTCACTTGCTTCAAGTGTTTACTGAGTACTTCCCATTTCCAGTCAGTCTTCTAGGTACTAAATCTGTAGCAAGAAGATAAACAAACCCCTCCGTAATAGAGATGAAAACATATGCTCCACCATGCAGTGCTAAGTGATGTGAAGTAAATGGAGAGCGGAAGAAAGTGTTGTTCTAGGAGAGGTAACATCTGAGCAGAGACCTGAATACAGTGAGATGATCAGCTGTCTATGTTTGGGAGTGGAATTTTCCAACTAGAGAAGAGCTTGCAATGGGATACCTAAACATTAGAAGGCAGTAAAGCCAGAAGAAGAACAGGTGCAGGACCAGCATGTGTGCAGCAGGTTAAGCCAGCAACGCGACGCGGGCATCCTTTAGGAGCACCAGTTCGAGTCCCAGCTGCTCTGCTTCCAGTCAGCTCCTGCTAGAGTTCCTGGGCGACAGCAGAAGGTGGCCCAAGAACTCAGGCCCCTGCCACCATGTGGGGACCCACATGGTGTTCGAAGCTTCCGGCTTCGTTCAGACCCAAGTCCTAGCCTTGCAACCATTTTGAGATAGAATTCATGGATGGAAGATCTCTAGATCTGTTTCTCTCTCTGTCTCTCTTCCTATATATCTCTTTCTGTAACTCTGCCTTTCAAATAAATGAATAAAATTTTTTCTAGGAAAAGAAGAAGAATAGATATGGAAATTGTGTGATCTTATTACATTTTTAAACACCATTGTGACTGATAGAGAATATCGGCAGTGGGAGAACACGATGCAAAGGAGAGTGGCATGGATAATTTAATCTTCAGAATTAAATATTTAAGTTGTTTGAAATCTGATGCTGTGTTTCTTTTTAAAAATATATATCCCACAGATGATACATAGCATAATCCTGGAAACTTCCAAGTATCTAAAGAGTATCTGTTATTAATTGATTATATAATCATTGTGGTTGCTCAAAAGCAGTAATATTTTTGTCAGCGTGATCCTTATCTTTAACATGAATTATATAGTTAACTTGTCTAATGAGAGTATTTGCAAATTCCCTTGTGAAAACACAGTGGTTGTTATCTCTTCTAATAGTGCCGCATTATTTTTATTCTCATTTATTTGCAATATGCAGCCAGATTCTACTGCGACTGAAAGAGCGATTGCCAGACTAGCAGTGCACCCTCTCCTGAAGAAAAAAATCGATGTGCTGAAAGGTATGAAATAAGTGACCTGGAAGTGATGTTTACTAAGCACTTAGGTTTGTGGTTTTGGGTAAATATTGACTTATTTTAAATATTTATATGGTTCTTGTAACTCTTGAAAATACTTTCCTTTATAAATGTTACTTTAAAATTTCTTTGGGAATGTGCCTAAAATTGTATCGTCAGCAAAAAACTAAATTTGTTTTTTCCCTAAATTCTAATATTAACATATGTAAAATATAATATATAAGTATATATTTTATGTATAGTATATACATAATAAAATTTGAATGCATTTGGTTTTCTGAATTTTCATAAAGCTCATTACTTCTGATTGTACATTTCATGACATAATTTTTATTTATGTGTATGTATTTTGAAATAAATTTTTATAATTTATTTTGCTTTTGTCCCAAGTTATTTTATTTTTGTCTAAAGGCACAACTTATAATAATTATTACAGAAATTCATTGTCATTTTTTGTTATTTATTTGCTTGCAATGACTTTTTAAGTCCAAGACATGAAAAAAGAATGATTTTTCTTTTCATTTTTGCAGTTTCAAATGGCTCCATCTGAGCATATTTTGTAACTTTGGTTTTTAAGACGTTAACAGAGTGCTTTGTGAATGCTAACCCATGTGCGTGTTTAATAAAAGTCCTTTTAAAGTACTGCCCTGACACCCTGATGCTGTATGTGTTTCCATCTAAAACCACTCACGTACTGTTACTCTTGCAGCTGCTGTCCAGGCCTTTAAAGATGCGAGACAAAATGTTGCTAAAGTTGAATCATCAAAAAACGCTTCTGAAGAAAAGCATTCTCAGGATGCTTTGTGTTCAAAAGATGGTGCAAGTAAGTTACAGCAACAAGGAACCATCACCAGTGAACAAAAAGAAGAAGCCAGTTCCCTGGCAAAGAAACAAGGAACTAACTCAACAGAAAAAATAGCCAAGATGAAACGTGGACCCAAAGCAGTGGACGTTCCCCACTCTCCGTCAAAGCCTCCAGAAAAGGATTCTTCAGTTCCTCTTGAATCCCTGAAGACACCTGCCAACCCGAAAACGACAACGTTACATCCAGCCAAACAGAAGAAAGTGTCTGAAAGCCCGCCTGGTGACACCAGTGATGGGGAAGAATCGCAGGAGGAGGAGAAGGAGTATTTTGACGACAGCACAGAAGAAAGGTTTTACAGACAGTCTTCCCTGTCTGAGGACAGTGACAGTGGTGATGACTTCTTCATTGGGAAGGTCCGACGCACACGGAAGAAGGAAGGTAGCAGCCATGCTCCCGTGAAGGAGCTCAGGCCTGCCCAGAAAGTGTTGCCCAGGGAGGATACACACGAAGCCCATGGGGATAGGAGAAATGACAAGAACACGCCAAGTGCAGAAGCCAGGAAGTTGGAGTCAGTGTTTTTCCACTCTTTATCTGGATCCAAAAGCTCTAGAAGGTAAATGTGTTTTTCTGTTCTGAAGTTATTATTAATTCTTAATTTTTTGAAAGCTATAAAACGTTTGCATTTCCTAATACTGAGGGAAGGGGCTGCCTCATGCCTAATTCAAGTTTGCACAACTCCTCCTATTTTTAGACTTGTTCCTCTCCATCCTGATAGTTGGATAATAAAACAGATATACCTGTGTGTATTGCATGTATATTGCAACTCTGAAAATGAGATGTGATAGCCAAATAATAAGCCGAATTTTTATTCCTTCAGTTATCAAAATTTTGAAACGCAAGTTAATTTTTGATGAAAAACTTTAAAATGATATTTTTGCTCGATGACCCAGGACCATTACTGAAAACATCAATCATTTGACTCTGCAGTTTCCTTTCAGTGTGTGAGGCTGTTGGCCCGACCTCCGAGCTTATCAACACTGCTTTGTGTTCGGTGCTGTTGGTGCCGCCCTCTGTGCTGTGAGCTGCTACATTCACAGCTGTTATGGTGTAAATTGATAAGTTCAAGTTCATTTATAATTCTAATCAAATGGAGAATTTCTTCACATTTTAGGGTGAAGAGCATGGTTATCCAGTTTCTTTAGTAACAGCTGTTTTATTCAGTAAGCTGTTTTTTCTGTGTTTATAGATCAGGGGTGGTCTTTTGTGGTTTACAAAAATGTGATTTAGAAATTTTCCAAAGATGACTATGGAAAAGGCATAAAGTCATCGTTGGAGCCTTGAAAATAATTAAAATATTTACTTTCATCTCAAATCTGCCTCAACAAGGTTTCATTTTTTTCTTTATTTGACAATAACATAATAGTTTTTTTCCCTTTCCCTGAAATATGTCTAAATTTTTGTGTTTTATGACTCATTCTCCCTGTGAGAGGATTTTTGAAATTCTTAATCTGGTTAGTGTGTAAGAGCAAAGACAAGGTAAGCAACACGAAAGATTTTTAGTTATGCACAGAAGTCCCTGTGAGAATGTGACAGGAGTCCTTCATGTGTCTGTGTCAATATTGGAGTCTGGCAGATCTCGATGGGGTGAAAGAAAAGCCTCAGGTTTTCTTGATTATCTTACTGATGATAGCTTGTGAGATGAGGGAGTATGATACGGTCCTCTGAATCAGTTTTATCTTAATTTTATTACTTTATCTTCTTAAAATCAGAGAGTTTTATCTATCTTTTGGAAGTCATAATGGTGTTTTTCTTCTTTTAGCAGCTACAGAGAACAGGCTCCCAAAAGCAGAACCCCAGGTACGTATTTGGCTGCCCAACATCCGTGGGCAACTGAGCAGTGTGCCAAAGTGGAAGGGTGCAAAGTTAGGGTTGCTTCATGGTCTGATGAAATTTATACCATCAGAAATGGAAACTGTCATCATGTGACCCTCAGTAGGATTTTTAATGTTTGTCATAAATTAATTAGCACATTGTTTAAGCAAATTATTAAATGTTAGTCTGGTATGCCATTAAATACTCAGTAACAAGTATATTATCCTGAGGGTTAAGAGGAGTGTAAGTGTTTTCCAATAATTCATAACAAATCAGAGTAGAATATATTTGGGTATGCTGACTTGTTACACAATTCCAGACTTCACAGGCTTCACATAAGGAATGTTTTATTTCTTACTAACATCAGAGACCACTGTGAAGAGGGGCTCTGCTGCACATAGTCATCAAGGACCCGGCTCCTTTCCATCTTTTGGTGCTTCTTTCTAAATCTCATGACTGCATCTAGTCACAGAGGAACTAACAAATGCAGCCTAACCGTGTATCTAGAAGTGGAATTTCTTGAACATATAACTGTCACCACATGCTCATCTCACCTTTCCTCCCACGCAGACAGTGCACTTACCCCTTCCCACGGAAGCCAGCCAGGGTCACGTTGTGCTCCTGCATCCCGCTCAGAGTGCAGGGTGATGGTGAAGCAGTGCCTTCATCGGACCCTACTCGTGTGACCTTTAGGTTACAAGGAAGCCGTGTGCCCCAGTGCTGCCAGGTATGCAGTGGCACAGCAGCCACCCAGTTGTGGGAAAACTGGAAGACATACAACAGATTAGTACATGAAATTCTGCTATGCAGGGATCATGCTGGCTCTGAGAAGAATTTCCTATTCATTGTCTGTGGTCCTTGATTCCCTTCTTGGGAGAATCTTTGTTCCATGACTGTATTTGAAGTGGGCCTTGAATGATCTTTGGGAGATTTGCCCCAGGTCACAGGTGCAAATCTTAGGCATTGAGGATATTGTTCTCTTGGAGAGTTTTTCCACTCCAAGGGGTAACTTCTTTAACTATATACTTCCTCAAAAACTTGGTAAATTGCTGTCCTCTGTTCTGTTAGGGCAGTATTGAGCTCGTAACAGCACTGAGAATTCTTTATTTGAGCTGGTTCACGAACCTGCTTTATTTATGTTGAGTTGTATTGTTAGATTTTTCCCACCTCCATTCTCATTCAGCAGCTGCTGCATTGAGACTCTCAGGTTTGGATGGCAAAGTCATACCGTTAATCTTGCTCCAAAGCTGAGTCTTTATGACTCTGTAAGTCTTTTTCTGCCTTGCACTATTGAGTAACCATGGCTTCTCTAAATGTTGCATTCCAAATACCTACTACAGCTGGCCACTTCTTTCCTGAACTCTTTTCTTTTTTCCCCTGTCTCTTGTCACAGGTAGCCAATAATAGACAAATCTTTTTTTAACATTAAAAAAATTTGAGTAACAATAATTGTATATCTATATGACACACATTGTGACAAATTTAATGCATATGTACAATAGGTATTGATCAAATAAGGATAATTAGCGTTCCCCTCAGTTGTTATTACTTTGTGATCAGATAAATTGAGCTCCTCTCTTACATTTGCTCCAAGAATACACAGTAGCTACTTGTGAACTGTAGACACTCTGGTATACCATATAACAGTAGGAGCTTACTCATTCTCTATAAATCCTCCCTCCAGCCCCTTCTCCCAGCCTGTAGTATTTACTACAATGCCTTCAGAATGAGTGGTTTCAGCTTTCCACGTGTATGGGGGACATATGTAGTATTTGTCTGGGTTCCATCCTTTTTTTGCTTCAGATGACAGGATTTCATTCTTTTCCATGGCTGAACCATATTTCACACACTTTATGTATTCATTCATCGGTTGATAGACACCTTGGCTGTTGTAAGTAGTGCTGCAGTGAAAGTGATGGTGCAGGTATCTTCTTGAAAAAGTGGTTTCATTTGCTGTGAATATATTTTGCTGCATGTAGGAATCTCCTCGCTGTTTTGCATGGTGACTATGCTCATTTATATTCCCGCCAACAGTTCATAAGAGTTTCCCTTTCTTGGTATCCTCACCAGCATTTGTTATTTTTTGTCTTTTTGGTAGTATCCGTTCAAGCAAGGATGAGAACATCTCATTTTGATTTTGAGTTGCATTTCCCTTATAGCTAGTGAAACAGAACCTTTTTTTTCATATATTTGTTGGCCATTTGTATTCCTTCTTCTGAGAAATATCTATTCTGACCTTTTGACCATTTTTTTTACCGGAGTTTTGTTTTGTTTTGTTTTGTTTTTTTTTTTGGTGTTTAATTTTTGAGTTCATAATGTTTTCTGCATAGTAATCCTTTGTTGGGTAAATAATGTACAATTTTTTTGCCTATTCTGACAGTTGTCTTGTCACTCTTTTTTCCTTTGTTGTGTAGAAGCGTCTTAATTCATGCACCCCCATTTAACTAATTTTGCTTTTGGTGCCTGTGCTTTTGGAATTGTATCCAGAAAATTGTAGCCTACAACAGTGTTGTGAAATGTTTGACCTATGGTTTCTTCTATCAGCTTCATAGTTTCAACTCCATCTGAGTTGACTTTCATTTATGGTGAGAGTTGGGGATCTAATTTTATTTTTTAAATTTATTTATTTGAGACACAGAGAGAATAAATGAGAGAGACTGACAAGCAGAGAGCTCCCAGCCACTGGCTCAGTCCAACAAATCCCTGCAGAGGGCCTTGTCTTGTGCCAAAGCCAGCAACAGAATTGATGATGAGTCCCCCCGTGGATGTCAGGGACCCCTTAAACCACTACCTGTTGCCTCCCATGGTGCATATTAACATGAGGCAGAAATTCAAAGTGTAGCCAGGACTCAAACCCAGGTAGTCCAGTAGGGATGCAGATGTCCCAACTGGTAGCTCAGCCACTAGACCGCACACCCACCCTAATTTCATTTGAATACATGTGTGTATCCAGTTTTGCCAACGCTGTTTATTGAAAGAGACTCTCCTTTGTCAAAAGAATCTGTTGACTCTATGTATCTAGATTAATTTCTCCACTCTGTATTCTGTTGCATTGATCTATATGTCAGTTTTTATACTAGTACCCTGCTGTTTTAATTACTGTAGCTTTGTAATATGCCTTGTTATCAAGTATTGTGATTCTTCCAGCTTTATTCATTTATTTTAGTAGCAGCAGCAGCATTTACTTAAATTGTTTTGGCTATTATGGGTCCTTTGTGGTTCCAAATCGATTTTAGAATTTTTTTTTCTATTTCTGTAAAGAATATGCTATTTTGAAGAGAATTACATTTGATCTGTAGATTGCTTTGGTTTTACATATATTTTGGCAATCAACTCTTTAATCCATAACGATGAAATATCTGCATTTTTTGTGTGTCCTCTGATTTCTTTCATAATGTTTTATAATGTTTGTTGTAGAAATTTTTCCCCTCTTTCGGTGGGGTATTTAGGTTTTGCATGAATAAAGCCATGTCATCTGTAATCTTGGATATTTTGACTTTCTCCTTTCCAGTTTGCTTGCCCTTTGTTTCTTTTGTTTCCCTAGTTGCCCTTGCTAAGACTTCCAGTAGTATATTGCATAAGAGTGGTGAAAGGAGTCACCCTTGTCTTGTGCCAGATTTGGGGAGAAATGCTTCCAGCTTTTTCCCATTCAGTATGTTATTGAGTGCTGGCCTGTCATACATAACCTTTGTTATTTTGAGATATATTCTTTCTGAACCTAATTGGGGGAGAATTTTTATCATGGGGAGATGTTGAATTTTACCAAATGCCTTTTTTGCATCTATTAAGGTGCTAATGTAGTTTTCATTTTTTCATTCTGTTGATGTGATTTATGACATTTAGTGATTTGGGAATGTTCAGTCATCATCACACCCCTGGGATGAAGCCCATGTGATCATAGTGTTCTTTTTGATGTGCTGTTGGATTTCATTTGCTAATATTTTGTTGAGAATATTGCATCCATGTTCATCAAGGATATTTGGTGTAGTTTTCTTTTGTTCTCATGTCCATTTGGTTTTGGTGAGCTGGCAGATCCTTCTGTTTTGGGAACAGCTTGAGAAGTACTGAATAGTTCTTTAAATGTTTTGTGCATGTCAACCTCTAAAGCCATTGGCATTTCTTTAATAGGAGACTTTTAATTGCTGCTTCAATTTGGTTACTCTCTAATCTTGATACAGTCTTGCTTAAGTTGTGTGTGTATAAGAATATCTATTTCTTCAGTTTTCTAATTTTCTATAGTTATTTATAGTAGGTTCTTCTGATCCTTTGTATTTCTGTGGTGTCAGTTGTAATGTCTCATTTGTCATCACTGATGTTATTTATTTTTTCCAGCTTTGTTGTGTAATCTGGTTTAAAGTTTGTTTTTTCTTTTTGTAAAATCCAGTTTTTTGTTTTGTTGATCTTTTGTATTTCTTGTAGTTTCAAATGAATTTATTTTGAAAGTGATGCTTATTATTTCTTGACTCCTAAGTCCTTAAGGAGCATCATTAGATTGTTTATTTGAAATACTTCTATTATTATGTATGCATGTGTGGCAGTAAACTTTTCTGTTAATACTGCATTTGCTGTATCCCATAAATTTTGATAATGTTTTCATTTCCATTTCAAGAATTTGTTTTCTTTGTAATTTCTTCAGTGATCATTTGGTCATTCAAGAGCATGTTTTTATGTGTTTGTAAATTTTCTTGTTGTTCTTATTGTCGATTTCCAGTTTTATTCCATTGTTTGAGAAGATATGTGGTATGATTTCAGGGTGTTTTTTGTTTGGTTGGTTGGTTTTTTTACTTTATTTAGACTTGGTTTGTGGCCTAAAATATGGGCTGTCCTGGAAAATGTTCCATGTACTGATCAGAAAGTCTTTTGTGCAGCTATTGGATGAAATGCTCTATAAATTTCCATTAGGTATGCTTGGTCTGTAATACGGTTCAACTCTGATGTGTCTGTTTTTTGCCTTATGTAATGCATCTGTTGATAACAGCGGAGTG